GAACCATCATCCCATACTTCTCCCTATCTTATCCCAAAGATCCTCCCAAGAATCTATTGAGGTTTGTCAGTCAAAGGGCCCTTCCAAGCTGTTAAAATTAGAGCCCATAGGTCTGGAGGTCAAATTCCCATTCCCCAAAGACCCACACACACATTGACCCCAGTTGGGGAGCTGATACTTAGATGTCTTTGAAATTCAAGGTCACCAACTGTGCTCAAATCTAGAGGGAAAGAGGATTAACCACCCTTAAACATCTCCCTGTAGAGAAGAGCGGCTTGCATTTCTTTTCCAATGCTTCCCTGGCCTTCTTACCATCTCCTGCAGGCAAAGCAGGTTGGCCTTATTTGCAGAGGTCTCATACCATCCGGCTTCTTCCACCTCCCATCATCCCCCTTAGCACCCAGCTGTAGACTGCATAAGGAGCCTATCCTCCTGAGGTCCCTGCCTCTAACATGAATCTAAAGGTTTTTTCTCTGCCCCCTGCTGGATACTAGCAGTCCAGGGAACTCTGAGAACCACCACAAAGGAGGAAAGATCAGGAAGGACTGGTCTTTATCTCTAGCCTCTTCTACTGCTTGACTGCCTCCCAAGTGATTGTAAAATAATCGAGTCTGAACCAACTGCTGCTTGACAGTGCATGCCACCCAGGATTCTGCACCATGGCCAGCGTGAGGTGGGGAATTAATAACAGTGAGTGATTATCATGGAAACTGTCTAGAGGAAAAACGACCAGGTTTTTACCATTCAACCTTGGAAAGATAAAATCAGACCTAGCAGAGAAAAGACAAATGGTCCAAGAGCAAATGCAGAACTTGAAATCCAAAGAGCATCCCGGGGCCTGATTATATACCTGCCTCATCTCCCTGTCCCAGAAGTAAGCAATTGGAAGGATAGGAGGCATCTCCATCCAGCCCACCAACCAATTCAGAATTTTGTGTTCATCCTATGATATCCCCAGCACTTCCTCTTCCTCATTCCCCTCCACTGTCAATTTTGATTACCTTTGAGTCTCTACTGACACCTTCTGTGTGACCTCCTTGTGTCTCCTGCCACAGCCTCCTTTCTGCTTCTTTTTCATCTAACACCCCACCTGCCCCCACTCCAGCCCTGCTTCTAGGAGACCCTGGAAAAACAAACCTCATCACACTGATCTCTTTAAAAACCATAAATGAACAAGAATAGCAAAATATTTGTCATTGTTCAGGTTGAATGATGGGTAAATAGGGGTTTATTTAATTGTTCTCATTATATTTGTGTACATTTGAAATTGTTCATAATGAAACATTTTCAATAGCCCTCCAAGGAACACGGGGCAAAGTTCAAAGCCCCCAGATTGACATTCAAGAATCTGCCCCGTGCATACCATACAAGCAGCCTGTTTTCCCAACCTCAGTACACAGCTGTCTCCTGCAGCCCTGTGTCCGCACCTTCTTCTTACCAACATCCCTCTCCTTATCTCCTGCCTAAAATAATGCTTTCTTATCCCTCAGAAACACAAAGCCAGCCTCAGCAAAAGCGATGTGCTAAGCAACTCAGTGAGACCCTGTTTCTAAATAAAATACAAAATAGGGCTGGGGATGTGGCTCAGTGGTTGAGTGCTCCTGAGTTCAATCCCTGGTACCAAAAAAAGAAGAAGAAGAAGAAAAAGAAAAAGAAAAAGAAACATAATGAAAATGACCCCTGGTTTGGGATACCTTCCCAAACCCTCCCTCCCCTATAGGTGTTGCAGGAGGGAAGGTAGTTTATGACCAGGTGCCTCCTCCAGCCTGATATACTGCCAAACAATATGTGTTTGAAGGAGACCAGAAGAATGTCTTAGTAAAATAAATGCAATATTTACTTGAACTTGGGCAAATAGGGTAATCTCTCTTGGCTTTTGCTTCTGTTTTTATAAAATGAAGATAATATCTGTACTTCTCTGACATGGCTGGGGAAATGATTCTCAGATTACCAGTACGGTCCATATAAACATCTAAACACAGAAGGTGGGGGGATAAAGAAAGAGAGAGGGAAGAGAGAAGAGAGGAGAGGGAAGAGAGGAGAGAGGAGACACAAGAAAGGGATGCTGACTGACTTGCAGACAGACGTCAATCAAATAATACAGTGGATAATCATGCAGCTTGCCTTAGATGAAATGTTCCCATAACCTATAGGAAAGACATTGTTGTTTAGCTCTTTCTGGGAGCCAGAGAAATTCATGGAAAAATCGTCGACGTCAAAGTCACAATTCCTCTCTCCCAGGCCCTGGGACGGTTTATAGTTTGGGGGGTGGTCTTCAGCGATCTAGGCCAGAATCCCGGACCCTCTCTTTGGAAAGGCTGTGATGGTAACCAAGCCCCAAATCCGGGAGCTAGGAGGGCACAGGCTTGGCACGAAAATTCAGCCCTGCCTGGTGCTACCCCCAGCCTGTGAAGTCTTGGTGAGCTGGGGAGACTGGGGTGGGATGCTGGGTGAGAAAATCTGAGTAGGGTCCACTGCAGCGCACCACCCCCGCCCCCGCCCCGACCCGCCAGCCCAGCTCTTCTGGGCGCCGGTGGCCTCGTGCGTCACCGGCGCGGGCGGGGGCCTAGGGGAGGGGGGCGCCGCAAGGTGAGGGCACCGCGCTGCCTTAAGACGCCGCGCGCCCCCGCCACCGCTCAGAGCCTGCAGCTCGGCGCGCCGGCCGGACGTGCGGGCACAGGCGCTGTGCCCCGCTCCAGCCGCGGCAGCCGTTCCTGCCGCCCGGTGCGAGCTCGCAGCCTCCCGCGCCCTGAGAGGCTGCTGGGACGAGCGCGGCGAGCTCCCGGGGACCGGCACGCAGCTCCCGCAGCGCGACGCCTCCGGCAGCAACAGGTAAACTGCCCGGCTCTGCTCCGGGCACTGCGGTACCCCGCGCCCAACCGGTCCCCGAGCTCCGGTGCCCCGGACGCCCCGTCTGCTACGTCTAGACGGAGGCAGAGCTACTGCGCACAGTGGCCCTTGGTGTGGCCCTTTCTCCCCTGCATCCACGGTTCTCTCCCTCGCGTTTCCCCTCGCACTTTCTCTATTCTTTCTCCTTACCCCTCAGTTCTCTTTTTGCCTCATCCTTTTCTTCTTTCTCTGCCTCTCATCCTGTTTTTATATCCTCTCATTTTTGCTTTCTCTGTCTCCTTCTCTCAGTCTCCCACTTTTGTCTCTTGCTCTCTCATACTCCTTTTCTCATTCTCTCACTCTCACATTCTTATTTGTTCTTTCTTGATTCTCTCTTGCCCTCTGTCTCACTTTCTCTGTATGTCTCATTCTTTCTGATTCTCATCTCTCTCTCTCTCTCTCTCTCTCTCTCTCTCTCTCTCTCTCTCCCCCCAGACTCCC